CTAAATACATTTGTTTACTTATTTACTATCTTTATTCCCAACAAGAATAAGTGAAGAAATAATCTGTAAGAATGACTCTTTTTATTAATTTCTCCTCTTCTTACTAGATTGTCCTTCAGTGTTTAATTTTCTTCATTAATTAACTACTTCATTTAATTCAGGTCAATTTTAATATTGTGTATTATATTGGTGCTTTAATATATGTTCCCCTAGATTGCTATTCAGAAACTATTTATCAGATAACAGTTTGAAAGTGCTTGAAAAAATGCAGCAGTCTCAGGAGACCATAGCACTTGTGTACTTTATTTAGTTTGTACAACTTGTCAGTAAGTGCAATTTACATGGCAATTCAGCTGACATCTCTAAAAGAGATTTTTCTCTCTTTACCAAGCACGTGGATAATGTGCTGTAAACAGCAGGTTTTTGCTAATTATTATTGAAATCTATGTAGTTAGAAACACTGAAGTTTCTTATATTTTCCCTTAAAAATTCCTAAGTAATTATTTTTTTCCTACTATTCAAATAATGATTCATTTAATTGTTACATGGTACTTGGGTAAAAAATATATTTCCATTTAGAATTGATTTTTATAATGTTGGTTTGGAGAAATAGAAATATCTTTGATTATTTTAATACTGTATTTGTCTTCCAAATATAATGTCAAATGAGATATAATAAAACCATTCATATTATGACAACATCAGGTATAAAATTAAACAGAAATATGTACATGCACAAGAAAAATCCCAATAATATCTGTATAGTTAAACCAAATGAGTGGAAAAAATAATATTTTAAAACAATGTGAGCCAATACATTTTAATTACAGGATCAAAAACACTAATTTAGTGACTTTTTATTGAATAAGAACTCAGTCACCTATATGAGAGCCAATTCTCTCTCATTACAACTTGGATCAAATTAAAAATTATGTCAATGAAAGAAAAAGAATTAGACATTCTAGCTTATTTATTGAATACTCATTCATTGCTTTATCCTTTTCCTACTTGCATGTTATGAATAAATTTAAATGCATATTACTGAAACAGAACAGAATAATTTTGTAAACAGTAATTGATCTTTGTAATGATGTATATCAAAATTTTGCTAAAAATTGGTTTTGTTAGGTCATGAAATTTCTCAAAAATACAAGCACTGGAAAGTGTCTCAGATTTGCTAAAAATAATGAAAGAGATCTAGCAAGCTGGAAATCTAAGCATAATTTTGACAGACATGGGAAATAAGTACTGCACCTGCCTATCTCACCTGGCTTTCAATGCTTCACTTGTGCTGGCTTTCAGCCATTTTCAACCATAGTATGAAAGAGGTATATAGTTAACATTAAATGACAAGGTCACTTCTAATGATGTCCTGGAGGGCGACCAGTCAAGTCCTAAATTTGGAATTGGCCGTGTGGAAAGAAATCAGCAGAGAACACATATTCACAAAAATGCTGAACCTAAATCTAGGGATAATAATAAAAATGCCACAAGTTTTCTTACAATGTAGAAAGCTCATTGACATACAGAATTTATTGAAATAATCAAAATAAACCTCTGAGGACGGATAATGTTTTTCAGCTGCACTTACCATGATATCCATGTGCAGCTTAAGTGTCATGCTCAAGGTCTTATATTAATAAAAATGACATTTTTTTTTCCTAAGGAAGACAAGGAGAAAGAAAAGAGAAATCATATGTGGTAATTGTTCATTTGAGTTTAAAAATTATACTCAATAAAAATATCAGAATAACTCAACATATATAAAATAGTAGTAGTCCTGATGGCAGAAAGAATAATTAGAAAAATAAATAAAGTTGCCACAGAAAATTATTTTGATGATTATGTTCTTTACACTCCTGTCATATACTCCTATCTAAATGCATCATTCAAAAAACCCTTAATTCTTGTTTCTTAAAAGTCTAATAAAAATGACAAAAATTAGACTTAAATTGCCAGTTCCTTTTTCCTCTCAAGCTACTAACTTCTCTTGTCCATTAAACATTTCTTTTTTAAGGTCCTGTTTTGGGAATCACTGTATCCTTTTTCACTAAATAAATATCTACATTGTGAGCTGTAAAGCACCTTTTCCCTCAAATGTTTTATTTTAAATTGGCCATCTTTAATTATGTTTTTTTCATTTCTAAGCACAATAACAGTGCTTAGATAAATTTTAGAATTTATGTCTTGATGAATCATTTATGTATTTAGCTTTTATTTGAAGCTCTTCTCTTCTATGGGCTTATTCAATGTCAGTGCTTTTTGAAACTCCGGACACACTTAATGCTAACTGCTTTATATCAAATGACACAAAGGAGTTAAAATCTTTATCTTTTATCTAGTTCTAATTCTATACCTCAAAAGAAAGTATTCACATCCTGGTCACTGTAGGGCTATGTGCAGAATAACACTAGAACCCCAATATCTAATTTAATAATTCAGGTCAGACTTGTTTATGAGATGGATGCTCAACCACCTTCAGTGTATATCAAGTGATAGTTTAAAATCATGCTAAATGGAGGATAAGATATTAAAAATGCCAAAATCCTTATGTAAATTTAGAAACGAATGGCATTCTATTGAACAGAGGGTCCAGTGAGTGTGAGACTATGATGTTCAACTCACAATTAATCTAAGATCAAAAAATGTTTTAAGTAAAACCTAGAATTTAATTGTTTTAAATGCTGTAAAATCACCCATATAATATGTAATCAGCTATATTTATATTCCCAAACAATCTTTGGGACAAAAAAAATATGTACATAATGTCAAGATTAAAAAAAGTAAAGAAAAACTATGATCTATTTTGTTTACACATTAAGTGACACTCTATGACTCTGTAACTTTATTAGTTTTATATGCCTCTCTCAGAAATTTTTATTTATGTTGACATTTAGGTGGGTCTCTGAGCTATGTTACAGGCATTTTTTATTCTTTCTCTGAAGCCTGATATTTTGGATTTTGCTGTTCATGATTTAGTTCTTGTTAAGTATAATTATTTGAAAATGAACAAGACAAAAATCTAAAAGACACAGGTAACTTGGAATCTATCACTCCACAAAAGATTCAGAGTACTTGTTCATTTTTTCTCATTTTTCTTTTACTTGGTTAGAATTTTTGGAATTTAGTTATAAGAACACTTAGACTGTTGCAATAGTATAATGCAGAAGCAGTAGTAATTACTGCTAGAACCATCCAGGCTCAGCTCCCTGAATGCTTTAATTTTCTCCATGTCAATAAGTGAACAAAGTTAGAGCTTCTCATCTTAAGGAATTCAGGATACACTAGTGGAAGAAAAACAAGTACATACTACTATAGAGAGTGTCATATAAGATGTAGGCTAAGAAGGTATAGAGTTATCAAATTTAATTAAACATATTGAGTGCCTTAATAAGCACTGTGCTGTATGGATGGAAAAATAAAAATTTCTTCTCAGCTTTCTGTATAATGAGAGAAGAGAGAAAATAAATAAACCATTATGATACACTGAAAAAAGCTGTTTGATAAAGGAACGTTATAATAGTTCAAAAGAGAGTTAACATCTCACTCACTCCTCTACCATCCACAGTGTTTGAAAAAATTTACAATAGAAACAACTTTCAAAATCCTCAATGATATATCTTACTTGAAACATTTGTCCAAATCCCCAAATTGTCACATGTATTGAGAGCTGTTTTTTTTTCTAATTTGTGATGCCATTAATGTAACTCAACCAGAAATATTCCAGAAGGCTTTTCCATTTGAAGTTAGTTAAATTCTCTCAAAATTTTCTTCAGTTAGCAACATTCTATTCATCCAAACAAAGGAGTTTACACATTTGAAAAATAATGATTAAAAAAACAAAACATGTTGTAACTAAAATCAAATATAAAATTTTAGAATCATAAACAATTAAGGCCAAGGTGTTTGTTATTACCAAGTTTGAGAAGGTTTATGCATATTACTTTGGCTTCATCAAATTTGATTCTAATTTCAAATTGCACTGAACACAATTCTAATAATTAGTTGTTGACATAATTCAGTGAACATGTGTAATTTTAGACTTTTTATTTTATAAAAAACAATATATCATAGACTACTTCATTTCAATAACATAAGTACACTTTGGAGTAAGCGTAAATTCTAATTTTATAAAGAAGAGGATTATATTGAAGAGGATTTTAAAAATAGCAGTCTGGCCTAGTCACACCTTGAGTGACATCTTCTGATTTCAAATTCAACATGTTTTCCATCACAGTTCAGCTCCTGGCAATATCTGGAATTACAGATTTCGAAATTTTTTTATCTAATTTCTGAGACTCATTTTTATTTTGTAATCTATATGCTTCCTGCAGAAAATTCCATCTAGTCTTTCTCATTTGCACACAAAGTGTTTCAATACATTAGTTGTGATTGGAAATTTCAATATAAAATAAAATCAAAGTTCTAAAGTCCTTCATACAACCCCCTCTAATCTGTGTTATTGGTGAACGTTAAAACTAATTTGATTCTTTGAAGATTTTTTAAAAACTGATATAAAACAAAACACCATTAATCTGACTAAATAGTTATTGCAAAAATGTATTATATGATACCAACTATGTTTGTTTTTTAAACTATAATATTGGAAAATGTTTGTGTTCTCTAACTTTAGCATACACTCCGAATGCATGATGTCCTAATGGAAAAAAATTGGCTGTTGAGGGGACAAACACTGTTAAACATTATAGTGGTTTTAAGTTTTCTAATATTCATTGTATTTAAACAGATAGTTTTAGCTTTTTCCTAATTTCAATCATGTAGATTGAAATTAGGAAAAAGCAAAGTTTGAAAGATTAATAATTAAGGAAGTTTAAAATATATTGTTTGAATATTTCATTGAATCCAAGCATTCTGTAATCTGAATATAGAATGAAATAAAGACTGAGACAGAGAAAAAGGAGGAGATGAATGGAAGAAATAGACAACTTACCTGAATGAATTTTTACAAAGTACAAAAAAGCAATTTTAACACAGAGATCCACTGTATAGTTATCAATTTATTCACAATTCCATACTTTAAAAATCTGGAAACTTTTCATCACTTGACCTCAAAAGGAAACCAGATCTGGATATCCCTTTGGAGATACCCAGATACCCTGCTTAACTCATCAGAACAAGATAGAACACTTGACTCTATGTAGGAGGCCATGTTCTTATTTTCTGAAACTTCCATTGCTTCTTGGTTATCTAGATATTCCTTGCCAACTGCCATTTCTTTTCCTCCAAGAAAATGCACATTGCAGATGCCGGCCTTTTCCATGTGTACATTCTGGTTGCATCTAGATGAATCACAGTCTTGACCTGGATGGAGGTGAAACTATCTATATTCTTTACTAATGCAATAATAAATATTACTTAGTGTAAATACTTCTGCAGAAATATTAAATTTGATTACAAAGTGCGTTCTCAAACCTCATAACATAGTATGAAAAATATTCTGTGTTTCAAAAATATCTGGCTCCAGGGATTTGGACTAAAGAGTTACAAACATGCAGAAAATGTAAAATTTGGCCAAAGAACTTGAGGCAATGCATCAAGGAGTGAAATGCAAAGTAGAAAACTAATTTTTCTATTATTATTATTATTTTTTTTTTACAATTTCGTTGCATAGTGTGTTTTTGGCTAAACGTAGGTTAGAAATAATACTAAAGTGATTGGAATATACAGAGACAATATGCTTGGTGACATGGACCCCTTACCCTCTGGCCTACTACCTCCTACCTTCACCTTTTTGCCAAGGATTTCCTCTGAAGCCATGGTAATCTAACTCTTTGTTTTTATCAGCAGAGTTGAACAAATGACTGGCATTATTTGGTGTATAAATGTTCTGATTCTTTTGTATTTTGCAAGAGATCAACTGTCTCAATATTTCCAAGAGGCTGAACCCATCTGCCCACAGTGCAGCTGGCTTGATTGTCTGCCTCATGGGCTGCCTTCACTTCCTGTTGTTCTCTGCTCTTCTATACTGGTGTTTATTTCTCTCCAAAATAGGCTCTTTTCACTTACTTCATCCTTTTTGGATCTGGTTCTGGGAAATACAAAGTAAAACAAAATCTTAAGTTTTCCAGTCTTAACTAACCATTTGAGTTCTTTGTTTGAACACAAATTAAATGCCAGAACATCCCTAATACTGCCAAACTGTCTTGTTTACCTGGCCTTCTAACAAGTGGCTTTTACATTTCATGATGGAATGTTCTATGCCAGTTCATGCTTTTGCAACTTTAGAGTAAACCAATACTGTTGCTTTCAAGCTGCTTGATCATTTGTACCAATCATCTAGTTCTATAACCTACAAAAAAACCCATGTTATTAATAGTTGGGGTGAACTTCCACAGAGCTTCTCTTGGATCGAGATACTCCTAGACTGATTCAAGGTTCAACAATGATCAATTGGCACTGTTCCATTCTAATTAAATGAGTTATGTTCAGCCATTCTAAGGTAATAAGATCTTATGAATCATGGTGATTATGATCACAATAAAAATAGATTTACTAACAGCTATAAATTATGCTGTATTTTACTGTTGTGTCCATCTCTATGAATTAGCTCTGTTTATTATTAAAATGAAACTTAGAAAAGTGAAGTAACAAGTATAGGGAGTAAAACAAGAGGGAAAGAAAGGACTTGTACCAAGAGCATCTGGCTACAGAATCCAGGTCTTTAACTGCAATATTATATTTTTCTAATTTATTCTTAGATAAAGAACACTTGTTCCTTGGGAAAAAATTTATTCTAGTGCTGATGATTAAGTGACCTTTAGCAACGACCTCTGAGCCCTAAGTAACCCCTTTTATTCAGGTTGTTCCAAGACTGGTCTCTGTCTCTCACAGATGGCAAAGCCATAAACAGGCAAGAGATATAATTGCTACTTAAGCTCTAACTTTTAAATCTTTTTATTATTTGTGCTGAATAACACAAGTATTCAAAGCAGCCTTAAGTCATTTTAAAAAAATCTAGATAAATATTTCATTAAAATCAGAGTTTGTTTTATGTCTTAAGATATTGCTGTATTATAAATGCTTATATTTAGTAATTTAATAATTTTGAATTGAAATGTTTATGTGATTAATATTTACTTACCCTTTCAATCCTTGAATGGAGCTTCTTTCCCAAAGAATCATCCATCCAAACACTGCAGCTCAGCACAGATTCATGATGAACGCTGCAGCTGTGCTAGCATACCCAACCTGGCACTGTGCTAAGCATTGTACATACATGATCGAAGTAGCCTCCCAACAATCTCAGGGAAAAGAGGACATCTTCATTGTCTTTTCATATAGGAAATGGACACCGAAATTTTCAGTGAACTTGTCCAAATCATAGTTTTAGGTCATAAAGTCAATTGAAATTTAATTTTCCCTTTGTTAAATGCTTTTATTTTTAAAAAATTGTGAAAAATATGCATTACAGAAAATTTACCATTTTAACTACTTTTATTTGGACGTTTTGGTGTCATTAAGAACATTCACATTCTTGTGAATTATCATGACCATTCATCTGCAGAGCTCTCTTTGTCTTCCCAAATTGACACATACTATACATTAAAGAATAATTCCTCTTTGTATTTCTTACTCAGCACTCCCTTGAAACCACCTTTACACTTTTTTTTCCATATGAATTTGACTACTTCAGATATGTTTTATATGTGGAATCATGCAATATTTTTACTTTAAAACTTGTTGATTTCATTTACCATAATATCTTCAAGATTATTCCATGTTGCAGTGTATGTCACATTTTTTTTCCTTTTTAAAACCGAAAAAATGTTTTATAGTATGTGGATAACACATTTTGTTTATTCATTCACCTGTCAATGGACTCCTGAGTTACTTCTACCTTTAGGCTATTGTGAATAATTATCCAATAAACAAGGGTATACAAATATTAACATCCTTGATGTCAATTCAATGGAGTATGTAACGAGAAGGGAAATTGATAAATTGTATGATAGTTCTATTTTTGAATTTTGAGAAAATTCATACTATTTTCCACTGAGTCTATACCATGTAACATTTCACCATCAGCACTACAGAGTTCCAATTTTTCCACATCTTCACTAGCACTTGTATATTTTTTAAAATATTCACACTAATGGGTGTGAGGCAGTTAACTTGTTGTAGTGTTGATTTGCATTTTTCTAATAATTAGCGATTTTTAATATCTTCCATGTGTTTATTGCCTATTTGTATATTTGTCTTTGAAGAAACATCTGTTCAAGTTATTGGCCCAGATTATAATTGGGTTGCTTTTTTCAATTTGTGGTGTTGTCAAGACATTCTAATACCTTACATTTTCTGATAACAAACCTCTTATCAGATGTGTTATAAATATCTTCTTCAACTCTGTAAGTTGCCTCTTCATTGTTGACAGTGACCTTTTATATAAAGCAAAACATCTTATGTTTTATGTATTTCAGTTTATCAACTAATTTTTTTTGAATTATCTGTGCTTTTGTTGTTGAAATTACCAAATAAAATATTTTCTTTTAGGTATTTTTATAATTTAGCTCTTAAATCTTAGATCCATTTGGAGTTGATTTTTGTGTATTTTATGGTATAGGCCTAAATCCTAATTCATTCTTTTTCATGTCTATTTTCAGTTTTCCCAGCATCATTTATGGAAAAGATAGTCTTTATCTATTGAAAGGTCTTAGCTTTCTTTTTAAAAATAGTATGAGTGCATATTCAAAAGTTTTTTTGGTTTGTTTTCTATTTTATTGGTACATATCGTTATGCCTCCATGATGCTGTATTGATTATTGTGAATTTATGGTAAGTTTGACAGAGAGAAATGTAAGACCCCCACCTTTGTTCTTGTTTTTAAATTGTTTGTCTACTTGATATTCCCTAAGATTCCAAATTAATTATGAAATTATTTCCTATTTCTTCAAAGGCAAACAAATTGGAATTTTTACATCAATTGAATTGAACCTATAGATTGCTATGAGTAGAATTGATATCATTGATATTAAATCTTTTAGTCCATGAGCACAAGTTAACTTTCCACTTATGTATATCTTTAATTTCTTTCTGCAACATTTTTTAGTTTTCAATGTAAAAGTCTTTTGTACCCCTAGTTACGTTTCTTATGAAAAAATTTTATTTATTTTTTTGATGCTATTGTAATTGGAATTACTGGCAGGCATGGTGGCACATGCCTGTAATCCCTGTGGTTTAGGAGACTAAGGTAGAAGGAGCACAAGTTAAATCCAGCCTCAGCAACTTAGCAAGGTCCTAAGCAACTTAACAGGAACCTGTCTCAAAATAAAAAGTAAAAAAAAAACAGCTCTGGATATAGCTCAGTGGTTAAAAACAGCTAAATTCAATCCCTGCTAAGAAGATAGGAAGAAAGGAAAGAAGGAAGGAAGAAAGAAAAGGCTGAAGGGAAGAAATGGAATTTTTATCTTCAATGCTCACTGTTAGTGTATAGAAACACAATATATTTAGTGTTGCTTTGATGTCCTGCAAATTGCTGAATTTGTTTATGATAACATTTTTGCAATTTTTTTTCAAAAATTATTTTGCTGATCCACTGCTTTTTCTAATAGTTTTAATTCTGGTTTTATCTGTAAAGTTTTGGTGAAAGAATGACCCTCACTGTTTTCTTATCTCCAGATTAAGAACTATAAAAATAATGATGATATTAACAATAATTATAATATGTTTAAAAACATAGATTTTGTCAAAAGTTGGTTTTAGCCCTTGTCTACCACATTATTAGCTTCATTTCCCTTGATATGTTTATTGATTCAATCATCCTTAGCTCTATAATAATATCATCACTTGCAAGTACTTTGTACATAAGCCTCAGCTTCTCAATAACATGGTGATCAGAAGTTCTGAGAATCCAATGAAATAACTTCAAATAATCAGTCCACAATCAGAGTCATAAACCAATAAGCTAGAAATTATCTTAGGGTCTCAAATCAAATTAAACATTATACATGCAAATACACTGTGATCTAGAAGACTCTAATAAATAATGTTTTTTAAACCATATATCCTTTTATTTACTGCCTTATCAGGAAGACATTTTATTCCACAGACCTCTGAAAAAACCACGAGTTCCAAGAACTTTGGTATTAGCTATGCAGCATAGGGTTTTTATGATTTTTACCAAAACAGAATTCTTTTTGATAATGAAAAATATCTTTAAAGAATAATTTTTTCAATGTATTTATTCATTCATTCATTCATTCATTTTGATTATAGATGGACTCAATACCTTTACTTTATTTATTTATTTTTTTTAATGTGGTGTTGAGGATCGAACCTAGTGCCTCACAAGTTCTAGGCAAGAGTTCTACTGAGCCTCAACCCCTTAATATACTTTCAATCATTTTAAAAGTGGTCTAGTTTCCAATATTATGTAATCATTATAATAAATCAATAAAAATTTTAAATTAAGAAATTGGTTTAGTTTTTTTTTAATAACTTCATTTTTAATTTGTAATAATAGTTAAAACTTGATCCTTAAAAAAATTCAGCATACTACAAGCACAAATGATAAAGCCTTCTTAATATGTTTTAAATGTAAAGGAGATTTTCTACTGTGTGAGGTCAGTGCTGAAATCCCTGCACTAATCAAGGGTCAAGTGGTGTTTTTAAACATGTGTAGCTACTACTCATGAAAGCACCAAAGTACATAGTATTTTAGACATAATTTAATGAGTACCAGTAAACTTTAATTTGTAAAGAAATAAAAAGGGTATTTAACAAACGAAAGGTATTAAATAAAGACATTAATAAATCAAGATAGTTATGTGAAAACCTGATCTCTTCCTGTCATGTCTGTTTTCTGCTTAAACTGAGTGAGATTGTAAGACATAAAATTCTGTTGAGAAAGTTTAAGAATTCAAACTTCCAAGTTAGAATTCTTGACAATTTCAATTTTGACAATTTCAATCTTTGTACCTACCTTTTGAGACTTATTTGAAAAAGAAATAATTTTACATATTTTATAAAATTTTGCACAGTGTAAAAAACTTTGATTCAAATATCCTTGAGGTGTTTCCCTTCATTAGAATGT